ATAGCAGCCCATCACTGCGACTGCAACAAACATGTTTATTTTATATCTCTATTCGTTCATTTATTAATTTTTTCCCATGCTTCGTTCTTTCATTTAATCCGTACTTTGGTCGTTGCTTCTCTTCGTGGAAGACGTGTCGATTCCACACAGCTTTGAATTCGTATCATCGACGGTAAAACAAAATTGTGTTGCGACGGTGCACATTCGATAACGGCGAAAATTTATGGTTCGGCGGTTCGAAGCCTGCTTCCTTGATGCACTTGACTCACCTGACATCTGCCCATTCATAATTTCAAGATGTAACTTACGGCAACATCCAGTGATGATGAACTTCCGTTTCACTGATCCTAATGAACACTCGCAAAGCACAGACGCGGTCCCTTGGTTGCTTTCAATTTTTAGTTACCTCTGCTCCTCGTCCTTGAGTCTCCTGCTCTTAGTGATCCGCCCTTACTCAGCAATGAAGGGTTTTTCTGGATATAAAGTACATTATTTTTCTAGTAATAATGCGATCCGAGGATGAATGCATCTTGTCTGGGTTTTATTTCTGGATTAGACTTTAAAGTGAAAGTTTTGATGCCTACATCAGAGTTTGTTACTGAAATATGCAAGTCTTCCCACCAAGTGGAGGGAGCATTTTAAGCAACGCAAAGCGCTATTTTCAAGGTGACTCATAAGAAAGATCTTTGTTGCAGGCGCGTAACAGGAAATTAAAACCCGAGACATATTGCCAGACCGACCAAATATATTGAGTTATTTGGTTCTGGTGGGTCTCGGAATCCAGTTCATGGAACTGGCTAATACGAGCAGGGTCGGGACGATTTAAAAAGCTTTCTTAATCTGCTGATGCTGCAATTCCAAAGAACAGCAGGCTCAGAAAATGGATGGACGAAAAAGATAAGCAAATAATTCAAAATTAAATTCGCAAAATTAAAATCATATTTCTAATGTTTTGTCTGACCTGTTTACTAAATTAAGTACTGTTACTGATAGAAAGGTAGTTAAAGTTCTTCAGCTGGTGTAGAAATCAAGTACATTTTAAAGAAGAAATCTGTCATTAATTGCTGTTATTACATGTTGATGATTCGTGGTTGTCTTGTCACACTTTTCTAATGGACCCGATGTGCAGAGACCGCATGGTCGGCGGCCATGGCTCAAATGCAATCCAACAGATGCAGTTATTTAAAGCGGAAAAATACACCGAGACTGGAAGCAGATGGATAACGGTGAAAATGCCTTACCTTGTAAACTACGTGCCATAAACAGGACGCCGTAGGACTGTCCTAGAGCGAATATTGCGGTGGAGCTGAACATGACGACTAAGCCTATGATGAGCGGGGTTTCGTAGCCGATCCGATCGATGAGGGTGCCGCTGAATGGATTAATGAGTAGCTGCAGTATAGCCTTTGAGGCGAACAGGTATCCGAGCGATTGGTCCTCTGACGCGTACTGCTTTATGCGCTGTTTCTTCATCGTAACGACGGTGCCGTTGGGGAGCGTCACGTTTGCGTACTTGTACAGGTAGCTAACCTCATAGGCACCGATGCGTCGCAAGTAGTCGGGTATAATCGGCACGATCACCATGTACAGCATATTGTCTAGCAGCAGAGCGATCGACACTATGACGAGCACCAGGCGCCGCTGGTTCTTCTCCTCGTTTATCTTGTTCTTCAGCTGCACTTTAAGGTCGGTGATGTCTTTGTTAATAAACGGGATAATGATACCCATTCCGAACAACTTATTCAAAAGGCAACAGCTATAAAACAGTAGTGATCACGAAGGAGCAACGGCAACAACTGTGGAACGGTATTAGCGCGACAGCTACTAAAAATACTTCGTCACAAAACTAATCATAATTAAGCGTAATAAATTTATTCTGCTTAAACACGTTCTTCTGAAATTCATAACGGTTCGGTGCCAATATACGAAACAAGTAATCTTCTAAACAGAAGGTCTTTAGACAATTATTATAGCCCACAATCGATGGTGTCATCTTGCCCTAAACCGACAAGTTAACTAATGAAATAATCGTCGTGAGTAGCACGAGAAACGAAATTCTTCACTTCCTCACTTGCCAACTAACTTAGGCAACATAGCAATGAAAGCCGGTGATATTCTTAACGACAAAAAGTCGAAGTTCTGAAGAACCCATCCGGTACAGTAGATCTGTAAGTAGAGCCAGAAGGGGAAACCGAAATATTCACCACTATAAGAATGGCGTTCTATTATCTCGAGAAATGACTCAATGGCATCCAGTGCTTTTAGTAACCTGGTTTTTTCTTTGGTTTGAGGAAGTACTAATCCTTCGACAAAAATCCGTCCGAATATCTCATTGGTCAGGATAGTGTCGAAATGCGGCATGGTGACATTTGTTATAACGAACGAATAAAACCTTCTGTTGAACCTTCTCTTGCAGCGTTGGCTTTACCGCATGACGATGTTCAGCTTTACGACCACCTAAGAAACTAATCCATTCCCTGCTGGGTGACCTGGACTTCAGTAAATGTGAAAATGACAAAAAGCTAGGCCCTGCTAGATATATTAGTTGAGCATAAACCATTTACGCCAGCCGAAAAGGAGAAATTTCTTGGAGCCGAAAAATATAGACCCTTCCTATGGGACCAGCCTACATGCAGAACGAATAACAATGAATGAGAAGATCTGCTGTCAGAGAGGAATTATTCATTAGAGGGTGAGGTAATCAGGGACGTACAGTGACGGCGTTGCGAAGCTGTGAATTCAACGAACATCACAAACCAGAGACGTTTTTCATGTTTATTAAAATATCTCAAGGTTATGATCTCAGCAGACACTGATCAGTTCATACGACATTGGTCAGCTCTGAAGTGCCACAACCCTCAAACGTTGAGAATCAAATCTAGTTAGGCAAAGTCACTTCGCCAATGCAGGCAACGGTATGCGGATATACAGTCTGTTGTGATTGCTTCAGAAAGCTTTCTGTTTTGTAGTTTACTTATCACGGCTAGCTTCCTTTCCTTAACCTCCGCATCTGCACTCACTGAGGTCACATGGAACGGAATTGTCATCGCTTTCCTGGGCTCTCCATTTGACCCATATTATGCATCGAAGACAACACTGCTGCAATCCGATCTACCTTCGTTCTTGCTAATTCCTTAGAACAGCTGTTGCGCTGCTGTGAAACATAGTTGACCTGAGGCAAGTATCGTACAGGGATACTTTGTCGAAAGAGATTCGCTTTCCGAAGTCCAAATATTTTGCTGCCTATCCGTAGTAGTGAAGGCAAATGCGATATTTTGACTATTCAAGAACCTTGTAGCAACAGTAGAAAAAATCATTCTGAAAATAACTGGATGACATTGACTGTCTTCTAAAGAGAATCATAATATTACGGACTGAATACATGGTTTATTTAACTATACAGTAACCCACCCCTCGCGCTTATAGAGTAAAGTTTGCTTCACTGTCGTCCATTCCCGTAAAACGGATAAACTTTAGTTATTGAAGGAGGGACCAAGAGTAGCAATCAAAAATGGAAAATAATAATAGTAGTAATCAAGAACTGTACTAATATGACAATGATAAAACGTCAGTCCTCTAATGTACAACTCCTTCTCATCAGTGAAGGAAAGCGGCAAAGGGTGCATGAATTGGAATATCCGTGGAAGCACGTTTGACCATTTCTTTTCTGTCACTGTTGAAGTCGGAAAGCTTGTAATGAACTCCATGAAAGTTAATTGCGTTCGCTTCCTGATCGGTGCCTGAAAATGACACTTAACAAGGGCGATGAAAAATTTGCTAACGCCTTTCGACGTTTCACGGATAACTCATCGTCATAGCAATCCCATAAATCCTTCAAAAAAGCAAAGTGAGGTGACAGAGGAATATTCCTCCTCCTCAACATAAATCAGCTAAAAACGGATCCACCGGGCACGAGTACGAAAATGGACTTGAATATAATGAATTCATGAGTTCATGCGTTAAACTCCTATCCTGAAAACAGGGAAGACGCAAGCGGAACAAGTCGGAACTAACAGTTCGATCTGCCGCACTCGTCCCTTTCGCAGATCGTCACTTTCCACCTCTCTGTTTTTAAGCCATGTTCCTGCACGAGTTAGCATGACAGGTGCTCTGGCTAATTCAAAATTTCGGGCATAGGAGCCCCAAAACGTAGTAATCAACGGCAAATTGCCGTGCCGATCATCAAGTATCCGTGGTATGCACAGGAGAGCGAGTTCACGGTCAACTTACTGTATTGCATCACAATAAGTTTCACACATGTCCTACGTTACCATCTTCGACCGTCCACATCGAACCTGCAGAAGGACATCAGATGCATGTCATTGAAAACGAAAGTGTTGTTTCGCTCGCTACGACCTCATCAAGACAACAAGGCGTAGAAGTGCCTTTGTAGCGGCATAGCCGAAGGCTGGTCGTCAGCGAGTTGAAACTGTGGTAAGGGAAATTAATGAGCACCGAGGCGAGAGCCGCGATCGAACGTTCCGTCCGCTCTGAGGCGAGGGAGATGTTCAGCGTTAATCCTAGTGTGGCTGATTATTGAAGAGGACAGATTTGAGAACTTCGGTCATATCCTTGGGTGGCGTCAATACGGGTATGGATTTTTGCGAGGCATTGACTCGAATCGCTCAACAGGATATCAATCAACACAAACCCAGCAATACCAAATTTTCAGAAAACGTGTTTTTCTGGGTTGCGTTTCAGTCTTATTAGAAAAGTGCTTTTGGTTGGGCATAAGAAGTGCTGACGTGTCATGAAGCAGCGCCCCTGTTGTATAAGTAAGAATTGGCGGATGATTGTGGAAGCGGCTTCTGATTCCATGGTTAGAAGAATTAAGATAGGTGATCATTAGTGATGAGCGGCACCAGTTCAGTGAAAGCATTTAATCAGTATTAAATAAAATTTGTTTATTTTCCTGCTTGAATCTTGCCTATGTCTACTTATTAAAAATTTTTAAATCTGCACAGAGCTGTTAGACTCACTTTGCGTGTCAGCAAGATCGACTAGACAAATCAGGAGGTAACACCATCTATGGCTTTGTAATGCAAACGCCTTGGTGCATCGCTGTTTACAGATTACTGTCATTTCTTGTGCGTGAAGTTCATGAACCGTCTACTTGCATTCAGAAACTCTGAGGATGGAAAACGCCTTCCAGAGCATAATGAGTTCTACCGACAGTGTCGCCACCTTTCACTGAGGAATCATGAGGGGAAGAAACGTGTCATTGTGCAACTTTTCCTGTTTTAATGCTCTAGGCCCCTAAGGTGCTTTCGTTCATACATTTTGTGCTCATTTCACCCAATTATCGCTGTGCGCTAATAGCAAATGTCTTTGTCTGAATTTCGTTTTCTACTGGGATTCGAATTCAATGACAGCTTCTTCAGTCTTCCACTGCACAGCATCAACATGAAATTAAAATGGCATAAACTCGGTTTATTTATATTTAACTCAAACAATATGGCCAATCACATGAATGACCAGTGCTGGTATTGGTCACTTAATTCACCATATTGTTTGCATCGCGTAAAAATAGACCAGGTTTTAGGCTTGTTTCGTTATAACCACCAACCCACGAACCAAATGCATATTCTTCGAATATGAGCTTAAGGAATCATTTAAGTGGGTAGAGGTGAATGGACATTTTTCCCTCACAAGAAGGAGCTCGCATTTTTACACAATAATGACGTGGTATGGCGGTGGCTTGGCCTAAGGCGCATATCAAAGGCAATGACAAACCCTTCTGTCGAAAAGACTGTTTTATTTCAATGTACCATCATTCATTTAACTGATTTGTTTTCCATTCATGAGTGTGTCATAATGCAAGATGACGCTCCTCCAGTATTCACCGTTCTCCACCCTCAGGCTCCACTGCTGACTGAAAAATTTGACGTCCCAGCGAATTGTTCTGGACGACCGAGTAAATGTTTGTGGTACAGCGAAACTCAGGTAGTAATTCTTAACCTCAACCGGTTGTCTCTTAGCTGGACCACAAGGCTCTTTCATTTTCTCCTTGCTTCGTAGAAGGGTAAAACACGCCTGTTAATCCACGCGTTGTCCAGAAGGTGACTTCTTTGCACATTTGCTTCGCCTTATTGCTCTTTGCGTTATCATAATTTTTTTCTCCTCAGCCTTGGTAAAAGAACAAGCCTTCAACGAGTGAAACATGAGGCTCAGTTCATTAGGATACATATTACAAGTCCTAAACCTATACGTAGATATAAAATGTTTGCTTCAGTGTGCAGACCAGACATCAAGAAAACTGATTGCAGTCCCTCACCGATAACAAAAGGGCAAATTCATATATGCTCAGTGTAGGCTTAGATGACAGAGGAAATTAAAGATGCCAAATTTGAGGAGAATGATGAAAATGACAACGGAGGGAGGTTTGAATCGTGTATTATGCAAACAATTGATATGAAACGATAAAGCGATAGAGAGCAAAAGTACATAGTAGGCAACATCCATAAACCAGACGCTCTTCTGTCTCGCAATAGTAAATATTCGACTCTAAGCTAGCAGTAGTACATGAGGAAAATCGACCTGGTGCTGTAGTTCATTGCGTTATAATAAT